AACAGAGAGGAGAGGGAGATGAAGAGGGACAGAGAGACAAAGAGACAGATGTGCAGGCTGAGTGAGCTGTGCTGAAGAGCGGGGGGAGCTGGCATCTGAACTAGATTTTTGGACATTGGAGGCAGTGTTCCAGCATCCAGCAAGTTCCCAAAATTAGGACCTGGCTCAAGGTTACCTCCATTCTATTCTTTGTTGAGGTGGAAACATTGTGCATCAAAATGACAGATAAATGCATTTTAACATTGTAAAAGGGCCCTAAAATGAGTGTACAGAAAGCCCTGCTGAGATGAATGCTTTGCAAGAGGCCCACAGGGCTGCAGATGCCTTTTGAAAACCATGCACATAGAAAAAAATTGTCCTCTGGACCAGAGGCTACAAACCACTGCATTTTGGGGGTGTTGAGCCTGGAGAAGAGAAAGCTCCAGAGAGACCTTAGAGCAGCTTCCAGGGCCTGAAGGGGCTCCAGGAAAGCTGGGGAGGGACTTGAGACAAGGGCAGGGAGGGATGGGATGAGGGGAAGGGTTTCCAGCTGGCAGAGGGAGCTGAAGATGAGATGTGAAGGAGAAATTCTGTTCTGTGAGGGTGGGGAGACCCTGGCCCAGGTTGCCCAGGGAAGCTGTGGCTGCCCCATCCCTGGCAGTGTTGAAGGGCAGGTTGGATGGGAGTTGGAGCAGCCTGGGCTGGTGAGAGGTGTCCCTGCCTGTGATGATGTTTGAGGTTGGATGATCTTTTAGGTCTCTTCCAACCCAAACCATTCCACAATTCCATGATTTTCTGTGGTCCAGCTGTCCCATCTCCTGGAGCACACAGGCAGAGTTCATTTGTGGAGCAGAGTGGTGGCCCAGTCTTTGAAGTGCTGGTGGCTCCATGGTGCTGCCATTATCACCTGCCCACGGGCAGAAACCCAGATGTGCCTGGGGACTGTGAGGAGGCAGCACTGTCTGGGATGTCCCAGCAGGTGTTCTTCTGGAGCCAGGGAGGGTAAAGGACCAAACTGATCTTCCTGATGATGACACAGCAAACTCTGTGGCCTTGTCAGACTTCTAAGTGCTCTTTTGTCACGTACGAAGAGCTGACAGCCTGTCAGTACCACCATGAGGAGTCTGGAGGGCAAGGAGCAGTGGCAGGTTCACATTCAGCAGTGTCTGTACTTGTGTTTCAGCAGGGGGTTGGGTTCCAGCTGCAGTGAAACTTGTGGCATCTTGTATTGAGCTTTCAGCTGAGGCCACCAGTGACTTGTGGAAAGCTTTGGGAAAGCTTGTGTGTGCACGGTCACGGTGTGCCTGGGCTGAACTCTTGCTAGACTCCCAGACTGGCTGGTAGTGCTTGTGAACCTGCAGAAGAGCTTTGGGGCTTGGCTTTGTGTTGATCAAAGAGCCAGATGAACAATGTCCTGCTTGGGCCATCCTGACTAGAGCTTATCTTGCAGGTGACCAAGAACAGGATCCAGTCCTTTCGGGACTATGGGATTGCTCTCTTTGATGAAGCCAAAGGCCTGGTGAAGGAAAACCTCATTTTCCAAGGGAGGTCCAAGAAATCCATTTTGCGACCAATGTCCAATGCAGGGGATTGCATCATCCAAAACAATGTATTTCTCACCTTCAGGAAAAGGTGAGGCTCCTGTCCCCATGCGTGCAGCCGTGACCCTCAAGCCCCTGTTGTGCTCCTGTGTCAGGAGAGCACAGGGGGCTTTGAAGCTCCTCACCCCAGCTTCCCACACCTGCTGACCCAGGGCACCAGCCCCATGTGGTGAACCACTGCAGGTCAAGAAACCAAAAGGTTCCTCATGGGCTACCTCTAAAGCCACTGAAGGGCTTGGATTATTCCTTGAGAGGCCAGCGTGAGTCGTCACGATGTCTGTGAGCCCAGGAACGTTTGCTCTGTGCCATGGCATCTCACTCTCCTGCACAGCTGCCCCTGGAGCCTGGAAGCTCTGTGTGTGCTGCACTGCTGCCCCTGCAGCTTGGGCAGCCCAGGAGGTGTAGCCAGGGCAGAGTGGGAGGGAGGAGGATGGGCCAGAGCCACCCATGGTCTGCACTGTGCTGCTGAGGAAGGGGGTGGATGTAAGCACCAGGCTGCATGCCAGGCTTTTGCTACCAGAGCAGCATGAACAGAAATTGGGAAGATGGATCTTGGAGTGCTTGTTGCTCCGAGGCATCATTTAGCTACCCTGGTCTTTGTGCCAGTATGAGGACGTCTTCTGCTGGCCTTCAAAGGTAGGGCTGTAGCTGCAGAGCTGTAATGGGCATTGCAAAGCTCTCTTCAGCAGCTGCCATCACCTAGATCTCAATCACTCTCATCATTAGAGGCCTTGTTCAAACAAGTCAGCACAGGAGTCCTCAGCAGACGCTGGGGAGGGAAAGCAGGGGCCCCAATCCTATGCAGTGGCTGGATATTCCTTAGATTGTTCTTTTTAGCTAGAAATTTGACCTTGACTCTTCTTTCTCCCTGGGCCGCAAATCTTGGTCCAGGGTGTAAGAGAGGGCGCAATGAAACTGGAAGAATTGTATGACTGAGGGAGGGTTAGGCCATGGGATCTCCCAGGTTGGTGCTCTCACCTGATCCTGCAGATTCCCATAGCATGGAAGTCAAGTAAGTGCACTTAGCTCCAACATTTGTCCACGAGATTTCCAAATCTGGGCCCCTTTCAGCATGTCTTGTGAGGTCCCAGCATTGACTCCCTCTGCAGGCTCCTGGCCCACCCACCAGGAAGTGCAGTCACTTGGAGGTGTTGGCTGGGAAACCAGAGACAGGCGCAGCAGTGAAGCTGGATGTTCCATCTCAGTTTCCTGCAGCTCTTGGGTCTGCAGCAGATGTGGGGCGAGCTCTGCTGGGCTCTGCTACTCCCAGGAGGGACAGTCCCTCAGGAGAGTGTCCAAGCTCTGCTGACCACGGGTCTCTCCTCTCCCCAGGTCTGACGTGGGGTGCATGCTGAACAACCCCCCAGCGCGACCGCAGCCCCCGGGAGGAGCCGCGGGCGCCCACAGAGCCGCCCCAGGGCAGGGGGTTTCCAGCATAACCCGCAGGGGGGGCGGGGGCTGCCACAGCCATGGCAGCATCTTCTGCACCATCCTCTGACCAGAGAGCAGGGTCGGTCTTTTCACCAGAGCTGCCACCAGGAAGCTCTCACAGCTCAGGGAGGGGGAACCCCCATTGGACTCAACTCCCTTTTTCATGAAGGATTTTGCAGCGTCAGTGTCACCTCACTAAATAAAAAATATCTGGTCAGCAGCCTCTGAATTCCTCCTCTCTGCCCACTGGGACTGCTGCTGGGGTAATTTACAAGTGAGCAGTTCCTCAGGTGAAGCGTGCTCCTAGCAGGACCACTGGTGCACCCAGTGGGGCCTCCCCAGCCTGAGCTCTGGACAGACCCCTTCCTGAGGGCCCTGCAGCATTTAATTGTTAGTTTGGGAATCACTTGCTTTGAAGCTGCTTTGTCAGTGACTATTTGTGCCAGGACACCCAGTCTGACAACGTGTGGTCTGGCTCCCTTTCTGTTTGTGCTGAGGGACCCGAGGGGACACACAGCTGGAGCAGACATAGAGAGACACCTGTGAGCAGCTCTGCTGCTGTTTGCACAGTTTCTGCCCCTTGGTCCCCATCTCCTCAGCTTCTGGCACCAGGACACAAGACGCTGAGGCTGAAGTCACCCCTTAGGCAGACAGACACAGAGTGCCTGGGCTCCCAAACCACTGCACCTCCTGGGCAGCAGCCCCAGACAGATGCAGATCCATACACCCCCCATGCTGCCCACCCCCTGGGTCGAGCCCTCACCTGGGAGTTTCTGCCCCTTGGTCCCCATCTCCTCAGCTTCTGGCACCAGGACACAAGACGCTGAGGCTGAAGTCACCCCTTAGGCAGACAGACACAGAGTGCCTGGGCTCCCAAACCACTGCACCTCCTGGGCAGCAGCCCCAGACAGATGCAGATCCATACACCCCCCATGCTGCCCACCCCCTGGGTCGAGCCCTCACCTGGGGAGGGTTGGAACAGCGCTCGGGAGGGGACAGGACAGGCTGGGCCTGTGCATGGGCAGGGACCCCTGGGCCTGTGAGGAGCTGGGGGGGCTGGATGTCCCCCAGCCCATGGAGCTGAGCTCCCCTGGGACTGGGAGGAGCTGGGCAGGGGTTTATGGCATTGATGGTGTCTCTGGGGGTGCCCTGCTGTCCCCTGGGGCCCAGGGCTCTCACTGCAGGGGATGGAGGGTCACTGGCCATGGCCTCATGTGACAAGCTGCTGATGCTGGCTGCATCACCAGCAGAGATCAAGAAGTCATCACTCTGCTCTACTCAGTGCTGGTCAGACCACACCTGGAGTGTTTTGTTCAGCTCTGGTCCCTGCTCTACAAAAAGGATGGGACAGACTGGAGAAGGTCCAGAGAAGGGCCACAAGGATGATCAGGACTGAAGCACTTGCCATGTGAGGAGGCTGAGAAAACCGGGTTTGTTCAGCCTGGAGAAAAGAAGGCTCAGGTGAGATTTTATTACAATGTTCCCATACTTAAAGAGTATGGGAAGAGTACTTAAGAGTACTTAAAGCCTCTCTTGAATTAAAGAGAGGCTACCAAGAGCATGGAGACTCCTGAAATACAAGGAATCACATAGAAAAGACGAGGGGTAATGGGCACAACTGCTTCTGGGGAGATTCTAATTGGACACAAGTGGTATATTTTTACTATTAAAACCATCAAACATTGGAATAGTCTCCCTCATTCCCCTACATTGGACAGTTTTGTCTCAGCTTGACAGGGTGTTGAGCCACCTCATATAAACTACACTAGTACCTAGAGAGGTTGGACCCAGGTGATCCTTGAGGTCCCTTCCAACCTGGCATTCCATGATTCTGTGATCTGCCTTGTCATCCCTGCCTGACACCGGCTGCTGGATCCCAGCTGGATTTTCTGTTCTTTTCCCAGAATGAGCTGTCCAGATAGCTTCTGCCCTCGGACAACCTGGCCTAGCTGTGCTGCACAGCCTGATGTGCCTGCTCCCCTCTGCAGACCCATTAATGCTGCAACATGGTCCAAAACACTTCTTTCTTAACAGGAAAAGTACCTTTTCCTATATTTCCAGGAAAACTGCCGCAAATAAAATGCCATATTTTAAAAGTTGTGTACATTTTAGTAACTGAGGTGCTTTCCACACCAAGTGCAATTTTCCAGCCTGGCTGTTGGGGAAACCCCTTGGGAAGGGGGTGGTGGTGCTGTCAGGCCGTGGGACACAGCCCTGCTGGGGAGAGGGCTCTGGTGTGGTCAGGAGTGGGTGCAAAACCAGTGAGAGACAACACTGTCAGTTGTCAGCTCTGCCCCTGGCCACATGTGTGCACGTGTACACCTGACTTCTGGTGTACAATCCCTACCTGTCACCGTTTTGCCTGTTCTGTGGTGGTGCTTTGTGATCAGTGGTCAAAGCCCTGGTCTGCCTGAAGACAGAGGCAAAGCTGACCCAGCTCCACCTTCAGAGCCCAGCACGTGGGCAGCAGCCTCACTGCTGTCCCTTGAGTGCTCAGCACAGGGAGAGCCAAGCATGGGGGTCTCTTGGGATGAGCGTGACTCAGCTGTTGGGGACTGAGAGAAATGGAAGGATGGGCCCCCCAGGGCATTGCAGGGCAGTGCCTGCCACAGCTGTGCTGCTCAAGAGGAGACCAACTTTGGGGAAGGAATGCTTGTAGATTCTAGCTGAGACCCATCATCCAGCTGGTAAGGGGGCTGGTTTGCTTGACAGATGTTGCTGGAACGGGCAGAGTTAAGGGGCAGCTGCAGGTGGCAGTGGGAGAGGTGATGCAGGACAGCTCTGTCCCTGGTAAGCAGCAGGGGAGGAACAAGTGCTCAGGCTGGCAGCAGAGATGGCTGTAAGGGAGGGATGGGAGATCCCAAATGCATGCTGCCAGGCAGGAGCCTGTAGTCCCAGACCCTGTGTAGCTCTGCAGTGCTGACTGTCTCTTGCACAAAGGACCTGCAGCCCTGATGGGGTGGGGGGGATGGACAACATGACCCTGGGGACACCTGAGGGGTGGGAGAGGGGCTGTACAGCAGTCAGGACAGAGCCAGGCTGCTGACACAGACAGAGGGATCACGATGGTGTGCTTCAGCTGGAACTTGCCAGAAGGCTGGCATGCCTGCAGGAGCAGCTGGAGATGTTCAGTTCTGCTCTGAACATGCCTGTAGGGA